GCGCCAGACCTCAGCCCTCCGCGTCCTGGTAACACTGTCGCTGCTGGTCCGCGAATGCTTATTCGCTAGATCCAGGAGCCTGCTTATTTCGCAGCTAACCTTCGCTAAAGGCCGTTCTACTGTCCACCACCTGTGGACGCGCCAGCTAGTCGGCAGCTAGGCTAACGAACTTCATAGCTATTTTGGACCAGCTTAAGTATTTACGCAAGCGTTCAACGTGCCTACGCTTACCTTCTTAGCTGATGATCGGCTTGTAGTTCTGCAGTTCCTCTCTAGCTTCACATCTATCCAGATATGAGAACCTGTTCTGGTCGGTCTGAGCGAGGCTAATACGGGGAAAATTGAATGGTAATGGTTAGTAATCAGTTAGAAGAGATTGTTCCTGTTACAGTACTAATATTCGAGAAATTAAAGTAAAATTAATTTTCTCAAAGCCATCATCCGTACAGGCTGGAATTATTTTTAATCAGGACTACATCAAAGCTTTGATTTCGTATAGAAGGTATATTTGACAACCAGTGGTTGTTGTCCCGTGGTGATGTTACAGAAGTGTCGAGTCCTTGGTTTTATAGGACTTCGACTGACCTAATCACTCTTGAGTATTTTGGAAAGAGAGCAGGTTGTATTGTCACCCGGATTACTTGCAGCCTGAACTCGAGTACACTCAACCTTGCGTCTGAAACAAGATGAATTTGGTCAATAGAAAGGCGTTGTGAAAGTTACTTAACCACTTCAGTTAAGGAGATCGTAGTGCTGGACTACTATACGCAATATATTTTCCTCTGAACAGCGCTTCTAGACATCTCGCCTTGATGCTTATAAGGTAGGTAGAAATGATGACTCAGCATTGCAAGCACATTTGTGGCCGCCAAGTAACGCTTCGCTCTCGATTAAGCCCATGATTAGATGACAGTCACGCCCACGTCAAATAGTTTCGACTTCGTTTTGCCATCCAGGCAAAGTGGGTGAGGAAAGATTGAGTGCAATATATGCAATACAAGTCTGTCTCACTATAAACCCATTAAAGTAAAAGTCACCTCGTCGCTTATGATGATCGAACTATTTTCAGCGATGGAGATTTCTTCAAGGACAGGACTTTAAAATATAGTCTCTTGAAAAAAGCTCAGTATGGTGTTGTAAATATTGCGTGTGTCTCAGCACAAGACTCATCCCGCTTGGTCGTCGGTTTGGATGGATATTAACCATTTAGGTACATTTGCCTTTCCCGTATAGGGAGTTTAAAGGCATTTTCCTATAGTTCCCTTAATGAATTTGACTTGACTTGACTCCAGATGTGCATTTGCCCTGTTGTTGGACGCTCCTTTCTATTTCCACCCTATAGAGCAAATGTCCGATAACAACCGCCCCTTTATATACATTACTCCCGAACAAACTCTTCTGGACGCTGTACGAACCCTACTGAAGTACAATGTACATCGTCTGCCAATCATGGACCCTGTTACAGGCAATCCTCTGCACATCCTTACTCACAAACGGCTTCTCAAGTACCTACATTTCAATGTAAGTTCGTCTTGCACCATATTTATCTGTTTTATTTTATCTCTATCCCAACCAATACACTTCATCCCGCTGTCTGGTGTGGCTGTCAGTGA